CTTGCAGAGCGGGCATGCGAGGGCCTCCTCTGGCTCCGGGCCCGGGACCTCACAGTAGCGGGTCAGGCAGCCTCGGCAGAAGTTGTGGCCGCAGTCGATGGTGATCGGCTCCCTGAGGGTGCCTTGGCAGATGGGGCAGCTGACCTCATCCAGCAGACTGCCCACAGAGGCGGCCGAGGCCATGGTGCTGCTGTGCCCGCTGGCTCCTCCAAGTCGCCTTCTCTGCTTGGCTGGGGGAGCCCTAAGGACGCACATTCATCCTCACGGCCGGACACGGGCACGGCTCACACACGCACCGGCACCCTCATGGTCACCTGCACCTGTTGCCCAGAGGAAGGCATCTGCCTACACGGCCGGGTCTTCTGTCCCTGTCCCAGGCAGCAGATGCACACTGTCCAGGACAGATGGACAAACAGCAGAGGAGACGGGGACGAAGGGCCCACAGCTCCAGAGGTGACCCCAGTTACTCTCTGGGCTGGTGTCCCGAGCCTGGGGCTCGCGTTCCTTCCCGTCTACCCACACACACGTCAGGGCTGCTATCTCGACCCCACACACTTGACAGAGATAGTCCCTCCTTTGGGGGTGGGAGGGAGACTGAGTCACAGAGCAGAGACACCAGCGCAGCCCCTGCAAGCTGTCCCCAGGGAGATTACAGGTATCAGTGGGCCCAGGCCAGGCAGTTGGCAGGCAGGGCGTGTCGGGACCCAGATAGGGTCATGCCCAGGGGAACGTGGCCCAGGCATCCTCCCCAGGGATGCCCCCAGTGCTTCCAAGGAAGAAAGAGAAAACTAGCAACAGCCAGCATTCATGTGTGGTGATGGCACCCCACACACTCCCGCCCCCAGCCCTGTGACAATCGTGCTGGCAGTGTGTAGTTGTGCCAAGCCAGGTTATTCTTGCCCAAGGTACCGGGGGACGGTGGACAGCCATAACATGCGCTCAGACCTGTGTGTCTCCCATAGAAATAGGGCATGAGTTACAGATGCAAGCAAACTTTCCTCGTAGCCATATTCTAAAAAGTGAAATTAAGTTTAATATTTTGTTTAGTCCCAGAAACTATCGTTTCAACATGTGATTGATCTAAAGATAAATAATGAGAGATTTTGTGTTCTTTCAACTGGTGCTAAGGCTTTGAAATCAGGGTGTATTTTATAGTGTGGCACATCTCAGCTGGGACTGGTCACATTCCCAGGCCCAGCTGTCACGGGGAACTTGGGGCTGCACCCTCGGGAGGGGCAGGCTGGTGGGAAGGAGTGAACAGTGCAGAGCAGATCCGTCCATGTCACAATGGGAATTTTCTTCAGTTTTATCCACAGATGCAGGGGATTGGATGCAGAACTGTGGCTATTTGACCATTACCTGGGCCTGGGGCTCAGGAGGAGGTCCTGGCTGGAGGCCAGGGGAGGAGGCCTGGAGAAGAGGCCAGCAGAGGAGGCCCGGACTGATCCCAGCCCTGCAGCTTCCCAGCTCTGGGACCTCAGGGAAGTCACTGCACATGTCTTCTTCTGTAAAAAGAAAGTAATCATCCCTGTCCCAAAGGGTTGGTATCAGATTGGACACCATAATATGGAAATAGTAAGTCAGCACGAATGTGCTTATGTCTGTTATCTTCGGGGCTGCGTTTTGTGATTCTGTCAACACGAGTCATTCACATTGCAGTTTCTTGCCTTCTCTCACCTGAAGTTAGAAAGTAAACTTGAAGCACAAAGCGACCCAGCGTCCTCCTGTCTGTGGACACTGGCTCTGGGGCTGGTGGGGTGCGAGCAGAGGAGGCCAACCTGGGCAGAGGAGGGGCCCCCAAGAGCATCTCCGCCCTGGCCTGGACTTTGCCGCCCTGGACACACCTCAGAGCCAGAGGTTTATGGCTCCCACCTGCCCCGCTGGACAGGGAGCAGAATTTCCTCCCCAGGGCTCTCCGACCCCATGCTCCAGGGAGTGGTTCCAGGAAACTGTGCTCAGCTCCCCAGCCCGGGAACAGAGAGCAGGCTGACCAGGCTGGGAAATGCTGGGTGATTCGAGGTGCGCTGGAGTTTGAACCCACTCAGCTGAGGGTGGTTCCAGGGAAGCACAGGTGGCTTCCCGTCTCAGCCTCCCGTTGTCTTCCCTCCGTGACTCACGCAAAAGTGACTCATCTCGGGAAAGGGTATTCGTGCGGCCTGAGGCAGAGGCCTCAGTGGACAGGCTGGGGAAGGCACCGTGATGCCCTCAGCCCCTTCCCATGAGGACACATGTCCTGCCTGCAAGGGACCCCCAAAGGACGCAGTGACTGCCACCTGTGGACACACCTTCTGCCGGCTGTGCCTCGTCCCGCCCTCCGAGATGGGGGCCCAGGCCTCCTGCAAGGTCCTGCTCTGTCCACTGTGCAAGGAGAAGGGGCACACAGACCCTGTCACGGTCCCCGTGCCGCTGGGCACTCTGGAGGAGATGCACTGTGAGGAGCACGGGGAGAAGGTCTGCTTCTTCTGTGGGCATGATGCTGAGCTCCTCTGCACGCGCTGTCGAGAGGGCCCCTCCCACCACACCCACACCGTGGGCTTCTTGCACGGTGCCGGTCAGCCCTCCCAGGTAAGAAGGTGTCTTTACCTCGGGCCGTTTGGGATGGGACAGTGTCCAGTCATACATAGTGAAGGGAACAGGGTAGAGTTCCCGGTGAAGGGCTTTGGCTGATACGTCGGGGGACCCCAGTGTAGGGACATGGGGGACACTTCCAATCAGGGAGGGCCATTGGGCCACTTGGATGTGTGTCTGTTCACAGTCTTGCAGGGACTTCAGCTCTAGCCTCAGAGGCCCCTCGGTGATGGACACTAAGAACCGTAAGCATGACCTGGCTGTGCTCAGGACCATCTGCCCGTTGTGAGCCGGGCCTCCTGGGACCCAGACTGGAGACTCAGCAAAGCCCTGGCTGCTGGGCTCAGAGGGACATGGTGGGAGGGGCCAACAAGGGCAACCAGCCGGCGAGGCTCCTCCCTGTGAGAATGGCTATGACCTGGCCCATCTGGTCTCAGGGTCGCTGCCCCTCCTTCTGTCCTCAGATCTCTCTCATCATCCAGCCACCAGGTCTACAAGTGATTTCTCAGAGGCACCTCCTGAGTCTTTAACTAGGCCTTATCCACACAACCACCACCAAATCCAGGCTCTCGGCGCTTCACCCAGACATTGGACAGCCTTGGACGTGGTCCCCACCTCCACTCTCTCCATCTCCAGTCACCCTCCAGTCCTCCACGAGGTATATCTTCTGCAAACACACGGCAGACCACGTTATTCCCCTGCTCAAAACCCTCCTGTGGATCCCTCATGCACCTCATCTCCCTGCCGCCATTCCTAGGACTCAGGTGTCCAGCTGGACCGCTGCTGGGCAGCTGCTCCTTCAGGCTTCTGGCCCCTTCTCTTGTAGCTGCTTCCTCCGACACTGCTCTCTCTCTCCATGCACTCCTTTTAAACCATTTTAGCAATTTCTGCGTGTGCAGTTCAGGGGCACACAGTACCCTCCTCTCCTCTAGACCCGCTGTATATGCTTTCCATCTAGACCCCTCCTGTGCCCTCTGTGTTCCCACCTTGGCTGCCAGCTTTGTCCTGACTGACTCATCGCCAGGTGCTGGTCTGTTCAGGGACAAGGACCGGCCCTTTCCACCGTTGGATCCCTCAGTGGTCAGCCATGTGCCTGGGACTCAGCAGACAACTAGTGTCTGTGAATTGAACCACCCCTTCCTATTCTTCTCCCCACAGGACAGTCTCAGGACTCAGCTGGAAGCCCTGAGGGTGGAGAGAGAAGAGACTGAGGATATAAAGAGTCAGGAAGACCAGAAGCTCCAAATGCTTCTGGTAAAGAGCTTCTCTTTTGGGGGTTTTCTCAGTAGACTGTGGGCCAGGCAGGAGAGAAGAGGGAAACTGTTCTCACTTCCCTGTCTGCGCACAAGGGGATTTGGGGTCAAGGTTGTGGAATCCCTGAGCATCACAGCTGGAAATGGTTCTGAGGTCTTCTATGCTAAGATCCACTTGTCAGCCACTTTACAGAGCAGAAAACTGAGGTCCAGGAAAGTGATGCTCCCAAGACCACACAGCAAAGCCCAAGTTCACGGTGACATGGCTATAGAACCTGGGTCTCTTGGACCCCAGCAGCTCTTCCCATCCCAGCCTCATTGCCTGAAAGTATCACCTTCAGGTGGGAAGCTTGGGGTCAGTAAGTGTATACAAGGGTCTGCCTTCTAGTCTGCCCATGAGGCTGATCTTGGGCATGGTGGGTGAATGGTGTGACTCCCTGCCAGCCCTGTCTCCTGGCTACATGGTTATCCCAGAGGAAAGCTGCAGTATGAGAATTTCTGGTACCCTTACTAAGGAAACAGAGTTTTGGGACAGGAAGAGATCTCCAGCACCCATGTGGCCCCCTCAGAGTGCAAGAGGCAATGTCCAGGCTAAGACCAATGCCACACACTCTGTGTTGGCTGTAACCTCACTTCCTTTGCTTGCGTGGCTCTCTGATTAATGACTACAGCCATCCCCCCTGGACCCTAGGGGAGGCCGGGTGAGGTTAGAGTGAAAGTTCAGTGTGGCTCTGAAGGCATAATGTGCATGACAAGTAGAATCTCCAGGTAGGGTCAGAGCATAGCCCTCATCACGCTAAGTTTACCCTGAGACCCAAGAAGCCAATTAGTCCTCATTGCTCTTGGTAGGTACACCGATGACCCTCCTGGAACCCAGCTTCTTGAGCTTCCTCCTGGCCATGCCTGTGTTTTCGTCCCTCACAGGCTCACATGGAAAGCAAGAAGCAGCTGGTGGCAGCTGTGTTTGAGAAGTTGCAGCAAGAGCTGAGGGAGCAGCGGGGCCTCCTGCTGGCCAGGCTGAGTGCTCTGGAGGTGCAGATCTGCAAGGAGCGAGAAGAATACATCTCCAAGTTCTCCAAGGAGGTCGCCAGGTGTGGAGCTGAGGCCAAGGGGCTGGAGAAGTGTCAGCAGCCGGCAAGTGTCCTGCTACAAGTGAGGGGCTCTCCACCATCTGCCTCGTGCGACGGGAGAGGGATTGCTCAGGAAGGGACAGCAGCTGAGGGCTGAGAGATGCTGAAGAGGGTCAGGAGAGGGGAGCAGAGGTTACTTCTGCTGGGAGAGACTGGTAGCTATCAGGTTCCTTCAACCCAGAGAGGCTACAGAGGGGCAGACCCAAAAGATTGGATGACTGCCCCCTCACTGTGGTTGTGTCAAAGACTCTGGAGTCAGCTGTTCTTGGGTTTGAGGGCAGGCTCTTCCAGCCGTGTGGCCTCAGTGAGCCTCGAGGCCCCCCTAAACATGGGGATAATAATAGCACCTCCTTCCTAGAGCTCTTGCAAAGATGATAAGAAACAATCCATACAGAATACCTAGCATGGTCCTGGCTCACAGAGAGACTCCTTAAGAGGCATCTGTCGTGATGCCCCTCATGTTATCCTGTGTCACATCAGGTCCAGCTGGTAATTCAAAGCCTGAATCCTGTCCTCCCCCATCTCCCAATCATTAGAGGCAGAACATGCTCCCAAGATAAGGCTAAGACAAAGACGTGAGCTGGAATGACCTGGCCAGAGTCCCACATTAGCAGGGAGGTATGACATAAAAGAACAGTCTGATGGGTATGTAATTAGACACATAGAATGTTCTGGAAGAGGAGAGCTTTGAGTCAATACGTTAAGGAGAAAGGATGTGCAGAGTCTCTGGTGCGAAGTACATGTGGACACTGAGTGTATGTTCTTTTTCTTTGGCAGGATGTCCGAGTCAGCCAGAGCAGGTAGGGCCTCCACCCCGTCCTGCTGCCTTCATACATGGGGGGTATACTTTGTACTTCTCACCTGTGTTCCCTGGGCATGGACACTGGGGGGAGGGGCACTCTGTACCTTGCCCCTCAGCTGGCTACACAGAAATGCAAAACCCCTTTGCCAGACACACACACAGGCAGCCTCCTCCACTCAAAGATCTGTGGGCCAACAGTTCATTTTTTAAACTGATTGTCTGGTATTAGGGACATATTTTCCCCTTAAAAGTGAAGAAACAAACAACAATCAGGTTTTTAGGCTGATCCAGGAACATCTATTTAATTCCTGAAATTATTAGTACTTGAGTCAGTATTCAACACCATGTAAAATGTAATTCTGAGGGGAATACCTTCCATAAAATGCAGTGAGCACCTAACGTGGGAAGACCAGCCAGCCTGTCTTCAATCATTTCCCCCCTCAACTGCCCCCATTTCCTTCAGAATTTACAAACACTACTACCAAGGGGCAGCCACTGCAGTTGTGGATGTGGGCTCCTCTGCCTTCCTCTGCTCCAAGCGTCTGTGCCTTTCTGGCGCTCTGGCTCTGCTCATGAGCAGCGGTCACAGCTGGAGGTTGTGCTTCCATAGCGGCCTGAACCCAGGGGTCTAACCTGGGGGCCCACGAGCCAAGAGGTGTCTCCAAACATACTTTTCAAGTCGTGTTAGAGATGTTGATCTAGAGGGGCTTTGCAGGTCTTCTGATCTGCAGAGGAAGCAGAGGCCCGGAAGGGGGTGGGGTGGGGGTTGAGGGGTTGGGGGACGCTGCTCAAGGTCATGCAGCGGGTGACTCACAAGAAAGGGGCTGCAACACATTTTTTTTCATCCTCTCTGTTCTCTCCCATCCCCTTTTCTCTAGTAATGAGCAGCAACAAATCACAGAAGTTTAAAGGCATTTTCCTCTTCCTAGTGACCCTGTACTGCCCTCTAGAGGCCAACAGGGTAATGACCTCTGCCCTTGCAGCCTCCACAGGCTCCAAACCAAACATTCTCCTAAAGGACCTTTCTCTAATTCTGGAGGAACTGGTTGTCTGTAGGTGTGAGAAGAAGACTTTCGTGAGTCCAGAGACCATTTCCCCTGCCCTTGTCGAGAAGATCCGCGAGGTCCACAGGAAAATCCTGCCCCTCCCAGGGATGCTGAGGACCTTCTCAGGTAAAGGGGATGGGGTAGCAAGCAGCTTTCCCTGTGCCACTCTCCTCCCACCCGGCTGCTTGCCCTTCTGCACCCCAATCCCTCTCCACTTTCCCCTGCCTTCCAAGTCTGGCTCCAGTTGTCTTCCCCCCAAGCCTTCCCTTACTGACCCTGCTCTGCTCAGAGAGACCGTTCCCCAGAGCATCTTCTCTCCCCAGGGACATGCACTGGCAGGTGGGGGCTGCTCCTGTGACATTAGACCACAGCAGGAGGCATGAAGCAGATGCCTTCTCCTCCCTCCCCACGGGGTCCCCAGGTGTGCCCTGGGGAGTACCTGTAAGAGATGATAAGTCACAGACCTTTCTATTTCTGCTTCGCTCAGAAAGCCTGGTGCATCATCTGGAAACAGACTCAGGTAAACAGCTGGAGGTTTTGGGAGCCTTTCTCTCATCCACGCATTCAACCCGAGGCAGCAAACAGGGCGATGAAATACACGAAGTCTGGAGCCTGATTACCAAGCTCTGCTCCAGCTCTTGCTGGGTATGAGGCATCCAGCAAGCCGTTAAGCCTTTTTTTTTTTTTTCTAGTTTCTTCACTTATAAAATGGAAACACGCTAGTTCTAGCCCCATACATAACTACTAGGTAAATGAAATAGATGAAATAATAAATAGATGCAAAAAGGTTAGTATAGCACATAATGAGGGCTCAATGTTTGTTACTTGTGTAGACATTATTTCCTCATAACTATTTATGAAGTTCTTGGTTGTGTGTATGTGCCAGACTCTGCTGACTTGAATAGATACTGTACAGGTTAAAAAAAAAATAGCCTTTCCTTTGAAACTGGTGCTTAATTAAGAAACTATATTTCCACATTCTGCTTCTCATACTTAATGTTCAAGTAAAACCACTTTGGGGGACCTTGTTAAAATGCAGATTCTGATTCAGTAGGTCTGGGATAGGGCCCAAGATTCTGAATTTAAAAAAATTATTTATTTTGCAAGAGAGAAAACGGGGCAGGGGCTGAGAAAACACACACACACACACACACACACACACACACACACAGAGAGAGAGAGAGAGAGAGAGAGAGAGAGAGAGAGATCCCAAGCAGGCTCCTCGATGTCAGCTCAGAGCCTGATGTGGGGCTTGATCCCAGTGACCTATGAGATCATGACCTGAGCGGAAACCAAGAGTCAGAGGCTTAACGGCTTAACCGAATGAGCCACCCAGGCGCCCCCGAGATTCTGCACTTTTATAAGCTCCCTGGCAAGGCAGTTCAGGGGCTGCACTTTGAGAAGCAAAATCTCACAGCAGAGCAGCACTTGCGGGTTGGGTAGAATTGCTCCCGCCTGCGTCCTCACAGAACAGAAGGGGAAGCCGAGGTTCAGGACAGCCAGGAGCTGGCAGGTGGCACCGGCTAGAGCGCTTTTCGGCACACCTTAGCAGCGCATGCGCTCCAGCAGCTCTCGGTATCCCGCTCTCCTCCCCAGGGACCAGGACTCGGGACCCTCCGGGCGCCAGCTGGAGCACGGCCCTCTCCGAGGACAGGAAGCCGACGAGGTTCACCCGGAGCCCGCAGGACCCGCCTCACTGCCGCGGAGCTCCGAGGGTGTCCCAGCCGTGCGCCCCCGCGGGCAGGTGCGCTTGCAGCTGGGAGCCTGCGGGGAGGCGGTGGGCGTGGCGGGCGCGTGGGCGGGCAGCAAGGGGGCGGAGCCTGAGCTCAGGCCGCGGGCGCCCCGGCCTCCAGGGCTTCGCACCTGCTGGGCACGAGTGGCACCTGCTCAGCTCCGTCCCGCGGGGGAACGCGACCCCGCCTTGGCTGCCGCCTTCCATTGGAGCCGCTTGGGAAGCAGGCTCCTGCCCGATGAAAGGCTGAGGGGGGCGTCCGAGGGGCGCTGCCGCGGAGGGCGCCCAAGCCTTTGGGAGCCCATGGGCTGCTCCTGGACACAGGCACGCACGCAAGGCCCGGGAGCCAGCGCGATTTTGAAAAACAAACAAAACACCAGTACAATAGAAACTGCCAAAGCTCCAAAATAACCATCCTGGGGGAAAACAGAAGGTCGTTGGGCCTGCATTGACTTGTGCAGTTGACGTGCGCGTGGAAATGCTCCGATCTTTACCGGGCGAAGGGTGGACCCAGACTCCCTTACGTTCGGACATTCAGGTCAGGTTTCTTTCTCGTAGAGTGTCCTAATCGAGTGTACGAACCAGCCAGACGCTGAAGTCAACGGACTCTGACCACGACACAATCCTGTTCCTCCTTTTAACTCCGAGTTTGCCTGATGGCAGTGGAACCAGACCCCACCGTTCAATAAAATGACATTTGACTTCAGGTCTAAGTAACCTCTCAAATATGTATTATTATTACCGTTCCTGTTGGATGGTGAGGCATTGTCTCACTTCCTGTGCACTCAACTCATGTTCTGGACAGGTTTTTTTTGTTTTGTTTTTTTTTTTTTGCCGCCTATGCAATAGGAAAAACAAATGAGCTGCTTACACTGTATTTCCAAGCTGCTACTTTTACTGTGAGTGATCCAATGATTTAGGGGTGTGCATATGCACATATGGAGGCTCTGGGCCAAAATTAAATTGCCCTACGTAAGAAAGAAAGTAGAATTTAGAGGCTTCAGGGGTAAAGTTTAGTAGGAGTCTGAGGACTGAAGCTGCCTGGAGGGAAAGAATCCACCTGGTGGCCCCACTGGAAAATCTGAAAATATTTGTGTCGCAATGTTTGTTATGTAAAACCGGCCTTTATCGCCTGCACAGGAGGCTTAGCCCAGTTGATCTTGGGCTTGATGCTTCCGGAAGCCTTGCTGGTCTCCTGGATTCTGGAATGCGAGAGGCTGAGCTCTGTTCACTACTGGGCAGGAGGCAAACAGAGACGCCACAAAACAAGTGTGTGGCTGCTAGCTTACATGAGGAGCTGTCACACACTCGGATGTGCCCCGGGGCCCAAGGATCCCAGGTGGAGTCTGTCCAAAGCCCGAGAACAGTAATTACAGCAGGCTGAATATGACAGACACCCAGGCCACAGCACTGCCGCTGGCCACAGGCCTTGCTCTGCAGGCTGGGCTGGTTTTCCTACGTGCGGTCAGGCTTGCTGGCTTTACTTGTGCCCTTTATTTTGTCACTCATTTCCATTCTTTCCTTTTTATTGGACTCCCAGTGCAGAGAGTTGACTTAGTCATAGTTCATGATTCCAGGTGCAAAACCGTGCAAGGTCTTGTCTCTCCAATTCCCATTCCCAGTTTCTTCACCCCCATGGGGAGCGGCGCTCAAGTATTTTCACAAACCCTCGGATACAGAGGGGTCCTTGCACATCCTAGTAGAACAGGATTCATTCCCTTTCTTCCTTTTTTAAACCCAGTACCTCAGTTTTATTTATTTATTTATTTATTTATTTATTTATTTTTATTTTTTTATTTCTAGGAGAGAGAGAGAGACAGCGTGAGCAGGGAAGGGTCAGAGAGAGAGGGAGTCACAGACTGAAACAGGCTCCAGGCTCTGAGCTGGCAGTCAGCACAGAGCCCGATGTGGGGCTTGAACCCACGAACCGCGAGATCATGACCCAAGCGAAAGTCGGACGCTCAACCGACTAAGCCACCCAGGCGCCCCCAGTACCTCAGTTTTAATATCTAGTTATGTTGCTGTATATACATCTAGTTTATGGCTTCTAATTGCTGAATAGTATTCTACAGAACACGACAATCACGTTTATTTTGCTTTCCTTTGGCAAAGAACATCTAGGTTCCCTCCTTCTGCCTATGACAATGAGCAACACTGATGAACAACCTCATGCTTTTCCCTCCAAACCTGTCTGAGATGTGCCCCAGGATGGGGTGGCAGGCATTTGCACACTTAGTTTCCTTAAGTACCACCAGATTGCTCCCCAAAATGGCTGTGCCCACTTATACTTCTGCTGGAGGTGCACAGAGACTCCTGCTTCCCAGCCCCCACACCAGCAGGTATTATCAAACCTGCTCATTTCTGATGAGCTGTAAACTGATATTGCATTTTAAAAATGTTTGTCTTGGGGCGCCTGGGTGGCTCCGTCAGTTAAGCGTCCGACTTTGGCTCAGGTCATGATCTCACGGTTCGTGGGTTCGAGCCCTGCGTCAGGCTCTGTGCTGACAGCTCGGAGCCTGGAGTCTGCTTCGGATTCTGTGTCTTCCTCTCTCTCTGACCCTCCCCTGCTCACGCTGTCTCTCTCTCTCTCTCTCTCTCTCTCCCAGAAATGAATAAAATATTTAAAAAATTTAAAAATGTTTGTCTTTTTCTGCCTGTGAGGTTGTGCGTCTCTTCTGGAGTTTTCTATGTTGTTTCTCTTTCAGATTCCCATCTTTGTTTCATTGACTTCCAGGAATATCTTACATATTCTAGATACTAATCTCTTGCTCATCTTAGGCTTGAAAATGTCACTCATTTATTAACTTTGTTAGTGGTGTTATTCATTAGATAGAAATCCTGAATTTTGATGATAAATCTAATAAACTTTTGACTTTGTGGTTTATGTTTTTGAGATCTTTTTCACTACCACAAGATCATGAGTGTGTTTATATATATTTCCACTATTATAGCTTACTGTTCACATTAAATCTTTAGTTTATCTGGGGTGACGAAGACACCGACTTTCTCCATCTAGTAAGCCAGTTCTTCCAACTCCATTTGCTTGAAGAATCCATCTTAGTCCTACTGACTGTAGTGCCGCTTCTGTTGCACCTGCTTCCCATGAACGAAAGAGTCATTTCTGAGCTTTCTACTCTGCTGTCTCAACCTATTTGTCTTCTCCTGGACCGATTTGTACTGTGTTTTATTGCAATGACCTTGTAGTGCAAGTTAATGTCTAACAGGACAGCTCTACCCCCTTAGCTTCTTTTTCAGATGTATCTCAATTATCGGTAGACATTTATGCTTCCATATGAACTTAGAATCAATTTGTCAGATTCTTTTTTTTAAAATTTTTTTAACATTTATTTATTTTTTGAGACAGAGACAGAACATAAGCTGGGGAGGGCCAGAGAGAGAAGGAGACACAGAACCTGAAAAGGGCTCCAGGTTCTGAGCTATCAGCACAGAGCCCGATGTGGGGTCATGGACCGCGAGATCATGACCTGAGCCACCCAGGTGCCTCTGTCAGATTCTTTAAAAAAAAAAAAAATCCTGGTGCTCTTTTAACTGAAATTACATTGGCATTGATTGAAATTTTATTCAATTTGAGGATTAAGGGAAATCTGGAATAAACAGACATTGTCATCCTACCCATAAACGTGTAATCTCCCTCCTGCTGTGTAGATCTCATTTTATGTCTTTAATGAGATTTTGAGATTTTCTCCAGAGAAAATACACATTCTTTAGCAATATCTAGTATCATGCCTGTCCTTTGACCCAGTAATTTTCCCTCCAGAAAAACTCTGACACAAATGTGCAATGAAACATTTCATGATAGTTTGCACAGCACAGTTTAGATTACAGAACAGATAATAGACGGTGATCTCTTCATATAATACAGTGCCATACAACAGTTAAAATGAATGAATCAAAGCTACATGAATCTGTATGGATACATTTTTTTTTTTATTTCTAGAGAGAGAGAGACACAGTGTGAGGAGGGGAGGGTCAGAGAGAGAGGGAGTCACAGACTGAAACAGGCTCCAGGCTCTGAGCTGGCAGTCAGCACAGAGCCTTACGTGGGGCTCGAACCCATGAACCGCGAGATCATGACCTAAGCGAAAGTCAGACGCTTAACCGACTAAGCCACCCAGGTGCCCCTGTATGGCTACATTTCAAAAGCACACTTGAGCACACACCAAACCCAGCCAGTGGGTCCCTCTGGTCAGGAAGGTGGGTGGCTTGTGATTGAAAAAGGACTATGCACACAGGGACTCTCAGCTGTATGTGTAGTGTTTTATTTATTTATTTATTTATTTATTTATTTATTTATTTACTTATTTATTTTAATGTTTTATTTTCTGAGGGGCAAACTAGATCATGTTCATCAAGGGATAAAGGCTTGATAGTTGAGTGGTCCGTGTAGGACTATTCCTTAGGTTACTTACAACATTTTTCTGTAGATCTTAAATACTTCATATAAAAAAACAAAACTTTAAAACATAAAAAATTTTAAAAATAAAAGGGGTGCCTGGGCGGCTCAGTCAGTTGGGCATCCAACTTTGGCTCAGGTCATGATCTCCCAGTTCGTAGGTTCAAGCCCCGCGTCAGGCTCTGTGCTGACAGCCAGCTCAGAGCCTGGAACCTGTTTCAGATTCTGTGTCTCCCTCTCTCTCTGACCCTCCCCTGCTCACGCTGTCTCTCTCTTTCTCTCTCTCTCTCAGAAATAAATAAAGCATAAAAAATTAAAACAAAATAGTGTTCTTCCTAAAATTTGTACCTTTTGGGAAAGCTATGATATTTACAAGGCTCGCATTGCTATTATAAAACTTTCCTGTAAAAAATTGTAATTCGTATTGGTTATTGCTGATATGAAGGAACAATATTGATTTTGATAATCTTGTTTTCAGCAATTTTGCCACATTCTTATGAATTCTAATAGTTTGTTAATTCATACAGTTACTTATATAGAAAACTGTTATAATTTTTATCATCTGAAAATAACAGTTTTGACTCTTTCCTTCTAGTCTATGTAACTCTTACTGCTATTTCGCACCCTGTTGTGTGGGCAGGGACTTACAGCATGGTACTGAAGGGTGCTGATAGAGGCCACCCTTAGTCCCTGTTTAACATGAGAATAAACTCTCTAAGTTTTCTCCATTGAGTATATGACTACTGTAGGTTTCTTGGTAGAGAGTCTTCATCAAGTTAAAGAGTGCTTTTCTATTCCTCGTTTTCTTAGAGTTTTTCAAATAATACCTGGGTTTCAAGCTTTGTCAAATACCTCTTTTCACCTTTCAAGAGAAGCGCTGTGATTTTTCTGTCTGTCCATGGATGTGGTCATCCCACATCAGATCTTCTGATGTTAGACTGTCATTGCCTTTTGGAGGTGAACTCTACGGGATAACAATGTAGCTTGTTGCTGAAGTGTTTTACACTTCTTTCTACACATTCTTTAACCTGCACAGGACCCTCTGGGCTGATCTGCCACCATCTACATCCTCCTCCCCTGCCCTGCTTTGCAAACTTTAGTGTTTAAACTCTTTAGTGTTGAGAGTCTTGTTCAAATGCAAGTTCTCATTCAGAGGGCTTCACTCTAGTTAGGGCTTTAGATCACCGCTGTCACCCGGCAGACCGGACCTTCAAATCCCAAGTTCCTGAGAGAGGCTTTTGGTCTGCTTGGTACTGACTTTGGTTCCAGATTGCAAGTCACTAGTCTCTGAGTGTCCAG